TTTAAAGATTTGCTTAGTGCTTTATTAATAAATAAGTATTGGATTTTTAAAAATTATACAAGCATTCGTGCCTACAGCAGAACATCCAGGAGAAAGAGTCAAAAAGTATAAAGAGCAAAATCCCCTTTAGTTTCTGTCCCTGGAGATAACAAGTCAAGTTAAGCATGGTTGTTGCCTAGACGCCATCTATCTCCGGTGGGTCAGCAAGGCTCCCGTCTGGCACTCGCCTTTGGAACCTGTAAACACTGGGAGTCAGGGCTAGGGACTTAGGGGGACTAGAGAACACAGGGACCCAAGACGCCCGAGCAGTCAGGCGGGCCAAGTCAGCAGGAGCCCCGCCCTCACCACACAGGCTCCTGGACGTCTCAGGTCGCGTCTGGCTGGCTCCGACCCCGCCACGCGGCCGGCACACATCCCGGAGGGCGCCCAGGGGGCGGCGGCAATGGCAGCGCCGCAGATCCAGGAGGGCGCCCAGGGGGCGCCACTTCCCCAGCAGCGCCGCTGAGGGGCCGGTGCGGCCCGCGGGTCGGGGCGGAGCAGCGAGTGGGGCCGCGGGCTGCCTGACAGCTGTGAGCCGAGCGAGCGAGCGGCGGCGCGAACGGGTCCAGGGGAAGGCGACGCCCGAGGTAATGAGGCGGTTAGCGGGCGGGCGCTCCCCCTACCCTCTTTGCCCTGGGCGGCCCGGGGCTGGCGCTTCCTGTCTGCGCCCCCGCAGCGGCGGCGAAGTGCGATCGCACGTGGATTTCAAGGGGAGCCTGGCTGGAGCTGGGCGTCGCTGGGGCCCCAGGCCCCGCAGGCCTTTGCGCCTCTGCTCAGTTAACCCAAGGAACCCGAGGGGAGCTGGAGGGTTCCAAAAAGCACTACGGTTTTGATCAGGAAAGGACCTCAGGGACTTCTAGCCACATCCAGCCTCTTCATTTCACAGATAAGGAAACTGAGGCCCAGAGAGGTGAATGAAGGACACAGGTCTACAAACCAAAACTTCTGCCTTGCCAGTCAAGGCTGCTAGAACCCTTCCATGTGGCAAGACGGTGGCCGTGACCCTTGCCAGTATAGAAACAAAACAGAGTCACAAAGAGAAAGAGAACCTCCCAGAGCAAAGGAAGACGGTCAGGAAATGGGCGGCTGCTGGGGCTTGGCTTCCTCTCGGGCCCTCATGTGCTGCGGTCGGGCTGGGTGGTTCCGCAGCCCTGTGCTGACTTGGCCCAGGTGTGTGTGTGTGAGAGAGTGAGAACACTCATGTCCCAGACACCATGTCTCTATCCTCACATGGGGAAAGGTCTCTGAATCCATGTATCCTCCACGTGGACACAGTGTACTTACTGGGAACCTGCCGTTTGTCTCCGCAGAGGATACCAGGAGTCCCCATTGAATTATCCCTGTGTGGCTCCTGCGGGCAGGAAGGCCCATTCAGTCCCCAGGGTGAGGAGGGAGCAGGAGGAGTGACCTAACTCAAGATGTAGTAGGTTCCTTGAAGAAACCAGCACATACCGCAGCACATACCATTGCTCCCAGTATCACAAGTTTAGTTGGACGTTCCAGGGCTGATGCCCCTTTATAGGCAAAATTGACATGCATGACCTCCTAGGGTAGTATTTGCCCATAAGAGCTACTTTACACATATTTTTAGTGATAATTGAGAGGGTTCTTGTATGACCTCTGAGGTCCCTTTACTTCTTAGTACTATACTGTAAGGAATTCAGAGGGAGGAGGGAGGTTACTTCTGTAAGGAGATCGGTCAGAGCATCCTAGATGAGGCACTGAGGCCAGGGCTTGAGCAGGAGGCTGGGGCTGGGTATTTAAGGGGGAGGGTCATTTGAGCCAACTGAAGGGGGTAGAATACTCTGTGGGACAAAGACAGACAAAGTGGATGATCCTGTGAGGTGTGTTGCCTGTAATCAGAAGGCAGAAGGCCTTGAGTGTCAGGCTTGGGAACTTGAACTTCATTATTAGGCCTGGGAATATTCTGATGGTTTGTGAGAAAGTGATTTTTTTGTAGCTGGGTTCAGAAGAACTTGTCATCTTGTCAGTATATGGGGTGTGTTGCTGTGAAGGAAGCATCAGGAGGAGAATCAGGGAAGGGGACAATAGCAGTGGCCACATGGATCTAAGCAGGGCTGGTGGGAATGGAGAGGAAGAAGCATAATCAGAGATGCTGCTGTAAGACATGAGGGTGAAGGAAAAGTCATCTGTTCTGTGCTCGGGCATGTGGTAGGGGATTTTCACATCTGATCCTGTTTAATCCTCCTGACAACCTTATGAGATTACCATTATTGTCCTCTTTATGTAGAGGAGGAAAATGAGAGTCAAAGAGATTAAGCAATTTGTCTATGATCACACCCGAAATAAGTGGTGGAACAGGGATTTGAACCCAGGGAAGGATATAATAGATCCAATCTGGTAACTGAATAAATGTCAAGAACCACAGCAGAAGAGGAGATATAATGGAGATTGAGCTTCCAGTGCTTGGGTGGCAGGTGATTGGAGATGTGACAGCCTGTGATGAACCTGCAGAAGGTAGGCTGCAGCACTGGGACAGGGCCACAGTAGCATCCATTCTGCCCTGTGGCGCCATGTTGTGACAGTTTGCTGAGTCTGCTGTGGGGAAGGAGGGTCCCCAGGGCCTGGTGACTCAGTCCCTGAGTTCACATCTCTTGCTTGTCTTCTACACAGAACAGTGTGTATTCTGTAGTGATGTACAGAGGACTCAAGCATTTGGCATGACACCTTGGGTGAGAAGTAGTTCAGGTTATTTTATTTTCCAGGCCTTGGTTCCCACTTATGTGTTTCACATACCCCCCCCCCCAAAAGTGGTTGTAGAATATTACAGAATATTGTGGAATTCAAGATCCTAAGAGCAGGTCCAGGGCCTCATATTGTGCTATAGAATCAAGGTGTTCTAAGGACAGGTCTGCCCTATTTTGCAGATAGGGAAACTGAATGTCTGGAAAATCATGGTCTTTGTCAGTTGTTAGTGAGAGGCAGAAATGGGTCCAGGCCCTGGTGCTCCTGGTGCTCCTGACTCTCAGGTTTGCTTTCTCCACCCCCTGACACACAGTGAGGCGGCTGACCTGGGGAGGAGCTTCTAGGCTGTCCCCAGGGGCCGTTTCATAGACAGGTTCTGGCACTGGATAGACTGTTTGAAACTGGTATGCTCTTTTTGACCCCTTATACAACACAGTATGCACACATACTCACACCAACAGTGCATTTTTTTCTACTCATCCATCTATTGGCTATTTCTTTGACTTCTTGTTTCCTTTTCTCTAAGAAAAATCTGATGAGGCACAGTGTAATTAGAGAGCTAGAAAGTGTCCCATCCAAGGACAGGGTTGAGGGGCACCCCCTATAAAGCCAAAAGGTACTGTGTGTACTACCAGAGCCCTCAGGCACAGACAGGAAGAGGAGAGGATACAAGTGGGAGGTGAGAAAGGAGAAGGAGAAGCACAGTGAGGAGAAAAGGAAAGAGGAACAACTGAGTTCATGGTCTGGACACCTCAGGGGTTGCACAGAGGCATATACGGAGACCTATACCCTAGGGATCTGGGCTTCCCAACACTGAGAGAGGAAATCTGAAGCAAGAAGATAACCATGTAATCATAAGAAAGACACAAGCTAGTTGGCCTTATAAATATCCTCCAACCTGGGACACTTATGAGAGTGAAAAGGGGAGATTAATAATCATGCTGGGACAACAGGTATAAGTGAGGATGGTCTAGGCAATCTGGTCGGACAAAAACAAGTCTACAAAAAGAAAAAGAGAGAAAAAAAAAAAAAAATCCAGAAAAATAAAACAGGTCTGCAGCCGAGGTGGAGGTGATGGGGAAGAAGCAGTCGGTGGGGTTGTCTTCTGCAGTCTGCACGCCTTATGCAGATGGCTGGCTTGGCAGCAGGTCTGGAATTTTAGCTCATCCGTGACTTGTCACTACTCTGCCCTTTCAGACGAGGTCACTGAGGCCCAGTTAGATGGAGGAAGGACCTCTTGAAGTTCAAAGTTAGGAATGGGTTCCTTAGGGACCTCATCTTCCTGGGCCACCTAGAAAGTTCCACTGTACACTCAGAGGCCTCTATCAGCCCAAGGAGTGTAGAATTCTAGTTTGTGACAGATCCTTCCAGAGACAGAGCATCCCCCTTGTCAATGTGTTTTGGCTCCCAGCCCCAGCTTTCTCAGAATGACAGTGGGACTCTTTCTTCCTTTACCTATTTATTGGCACATCCTGGATGGGGCTGGCCTGGGGAGCCATTTACAGAGGCAGCAGGCTTAGTGGCAGGTGGAGCATGACTCTAGGTGATGCTGCAGGAGGTTCCAGGAGGTGAGGGTGGTAGGAACAGGCAGGCTTTCCATGTAGTTCATACTCCAATGGCCTCTGTCCCCACCACATCTGTCTGGAAGATCCCTTAGCCATGTAATAGAGCTGCCCTATCTGGGTCCAGAAAAATATGAGGTTGAGCCTGAGAACTTGTGGCAAGGTGAAAATGGTGCCCCGCCCAAGGGAGGTAAGGCAGGGAGGCTGGATTGGCTTAGCCCCTGGCCCTCGCTCCCAGTGCACCACTGGTCCAAGGAGCTCTGTGCCTTTGCGGGCTTAGTTAGAGGAAAGGTGAGAATGGCGAGACTTAGCACACATGCTGTAGGTGTGCCAAGACACACAGGACCCAGTGGGTGTGGCTGCCCTCCTCCCGGAACCTGCACTTGTGTTTCTGGCCAGGCAGCTTCTTTTGCTCCCTTTTTAACTCACAGCAGCACTAGAGGAAGTAGAAGGTACGCTGCAGCGGCCCAATTACCAGTGCAGACAAGAGGAAAATCTCCCATTACCTGGGCTATTGGCTTATTTTCATTTTATTTACTTTAGAGATTGCTCAGCATTGAGCTCTGGGATTTGCAGCAGGCCAGAGCCCTCCTGGTAAGCAGGTGGAGCTTTGCCACCTCGTCTACCCCCTGTAATCATGCATCCTTACCCGCAGAAATGAAAGGTTGGATTGGTGCTGACATGGGAGGGAGACCAACTGCCTGAAGCCCCACCCTGATCAAACAAAAAGGCCAGTGACCTTCTTCCCGCTGCACCTTGAGCTTGATGGACAGAAATGCACCAGGTATGGCCAAGAGCTTGGCATTAGACTCATTCAATGTTTACAACAGCCTTATGAGACAGGCACTGTTATCATCATTCCCTCCATTTTACAGATACAGAAGTCAAGGTTCTGAGAGGCTGAGTAATTTTTTCAAGGTCACACAGCTTATAAGAGACCGAGCTGGGATTTAAACCCAGACAGCCTGGCTCTAGGGTCATGTCCTGAACTATTGCACAAGCCTGTCTTCTCTGAATGTTTATCAGAGCCCAATTCAGACTCTAACCAGGCATTTGTCCTCAGGATTAGCCCTCTTTCCTCTTCATTAAAATGAGAACACAGGAGATACCTGCTGGTCCATCCAGGTAAACTAAGGGCTATGAGAAGGCACATGGTCAAGGCTCACATGACCTCCACCAGTTGTGCTGGGTCTACCTCTTTTGAGAGCTTGCTGTTGAGTTCCGTGTGGAAGTCTACTCTCCCACCTCTTAGTCCTTCTCAGTGTGCCCGTCAGCTTTCCCAGGAGGAGCAGAATCTCAACTGTTGTCCTACAGGAGGTCTGGTTTAAGAAGAGAAGGGCAGTCCCTATAACAGGCTTGCACACTGCCCTCGGGGGAATGTCTTTGTCTGCTTGGGCTGCTAGAGGGAAATAACACAGACTGGGTTTAAACCACAGAAATTTATTCTGTCACAGTTCTGGAGGCTGGAAGGCTCCCATCACAGTACTGTTTTTCTTGGTGAGGGTTCTCTCCCGGCTGTCCTTGGCATGCAGACAGACATGGTCTTGCTGTGTCCTCACATGACAGGGAGTAGAGGAGGAAGGGGTGGAGAGAGGAAAGAGAAGAGAGAAGCTCACTGGTGTCTCTTCTTACAGGGTCACTAATGCATTGTAAGGGCCCCACCCTCATAATCTCCTCTAATCCTAATCCTAAAGGCCCCACTTCAAATACCACAAATACCAGCACATTGAATTTAGGGCTTCAACATATGAATTTGGGGCCCAGAGCAGGGGGTGACCTAAAAAGACAGCGAGTGATGTTGGTGTTTGTAGGAAAGTGAGTCAAGGGTATTTCTCATGGTTTCACAGTGGAGGTGGTATTTGAGCTGGACCTAGAAGTACATACACCCCAGGCTGAGAGGCATTTACAACAGGAGTTTCCCGAGGCATAGAGGCAGCCCTTTGCCCCTCCATCATGGCCGTGTCAGGTTGGCATGGCCTTCTGGGGACATGACTGGGTTAGGGAGGTCAGGGGGAAGGTGATTACAGATGTTATCTAGAACCACTTTTCCTGGTCTCAGCCAGATTTTTGTTTTCCTGGGGGAAGGAGGAAATGGTTTGTCAGGGCTGCTCTTTCTATGACCTGAGCAGGACTGAAATTTTAGAGGCCTTTCCAAGACAAAGGTTTTCTGAGCAAAACAGCAGCTCTGCTGTCTCCAGATGAGGATATGGTGGGGGTGAGAGAGGAGGAAGAGGTTTGGGGGAGTTTCACTTCTGTGGATGGCATCTTCTGAATTGCGGTCAGAAAATACTGAGATACCATCCGGAATGAAAAATTGTTCAGCTTAAGAACCTCTAGATTTTTCTGTGCTGCCATGCCCATGGTGGCTTTTTGGGAACTTGGGTTGAATAGACATCCTGGATACAGGTCATATCTACAGGATGTAGATAGTCACTCACAAGGCCTTTGGTGTGGTACCGGGGGGCGTGGACACTGCCTTTCCTAACGTGGAAAGCTCTCCCACAGAGAGAAGGTCATCCCAACTCTCCTGTACATTATTATTTTTATTTTAGTGTCTCCACTGGGCTAAAAGTTGGGATTTGGAGTTTTGTTTTCTGTGTTTTTTATTGTGATAAAATATGCATAACAAAAAATTTACCATTTTAATCATTTTTAAGCATACAGTTCAGTGGCATGGACTCCACATTCACATTGTGGATTTTTCCATCTTCTCAGACTGAGAGGGTTTGGTTTTAACCTTGGCTCCAGGAAGTCCTATAGCAGCATACTCTGCCTGTGCTTCCCTCCCTGCACCGTGGCCGCACCATCAGAGGTCCTCTCCACTTGGGTCATCTTTCTGCTGCTATGTCTTGTTAACTTCTGTGTTTTTAATTCTCTGTTTCAATCAAAAGCATTTCTGTGAGACTGCCCTCCTGTGGGCAAAGCACTTTGTACAGCACCTCCTATATTTCTCCCAAGGTCTTATAAGGTAGTTATTGCTATCCAGTCTTTCCAGATGAGGAGACTGAACATCACAGATGTAACAGACTCAAGGCCATATTGATTGCTTCAGAGTCAGGATTCCATTCTGAACTCTCCGATTCTTCCTTCTTCATCTAGGTAGGGGTATCTTTGTAAAGTCAAGCACAGCTACCCTGCCTGGGCCCATTATTGTTTACTCTAGAAAGTTTCTAGAATCTGCATGGATGTGGGCATGTCTTATGTGAACCATGTTCCATTAGGATTTTTAAGCATCTTTAGCCAAAAAGGATTTGCTTGGAAATAGCTTAATTATAAACCGTAGATAAACTGCTAATGGAATTTGCCGAAATTCTAAATTAAGCTTTTCAACTAATTCCACACGTTCTGTAAAACTGTGAGTTTAGCTTTAACTGTAGGTCCCTCTCAAGGCAAAGTGTTGGTGTATCTTCTCTGGCCAGCAGGGATGGTCACTGTGTCCATTCTTGTTCTTGATCATGATCACTTTTGCTTTTCTTTCCCTCTTGGTGTCTCACTGTAGCTTGATTCTGTATTTGCTCAGGGCACAGGCAGTTTGTTCCTGAGCCAGGGCTGTTCTGGCTACAGATCCTACTGAATGTATTTCCTATTTCCTCAGCAGGTATTCTTTCTAGAATCTACATCTTTTGTGATGTGTCCTCTGATGCATTTTCTATTACTTGTCATTACCTTGGTGGTGGACTACAAGCCCCTGCTATGTCTCTCAGTACTCTAGATTTTTAGGGTTCAACTTTGCTTGAGCTTCACGGTTCTGACTCCAGTAGATGGTTCTGGGAATAAAGTCAGCTGGGAACCAGCAAGGCACCCAATAGACTTTCATGATGCCCCATGCTTAATAATAAGATGATTTATCGTGTGCCTTCAATGTGCCAGGCACTGTTTCTCATCTAGGTCTTAGCACCCCCATTTTATAAATGAGGAAACTAAGGCTCAGAGAGGACCAACAACTTGACCCTCTTGTTGGATCCACACGTCTAGTCCTGGGATAGATGTCTGCATCATGGATGCCTCACCCAGGTTGCTGATACCCTTTCCCCAGATTGGCTTCCTTCCAAGGGCTGACTCTTTGGATTGCAGAGTCTGCTTGATAATGGAGCTCTGTTAATACATCTGGAAAATGGGAGCAAGCATCCCCTGACTCCATGCTAGGTGAGCCACCCAAGGCATAGGTCATCTAGAAATACAGGGGTGAGAAAGGCCAGTTAAAAAGCCTAATATGGAACTTTTTAAAAAAGGAATCCAATTTTAATACATTGAACCACAGCTTGAATCAGAAACAAACACACAAAAAGGAGCCACCAAGTAAAAGAAGTATTAATGGGAAAAGAAAAATTATTAGTCTCCCGTTATGTAATCACACATTGCAAACTAAAAGTATTTTTTTTTAAACACATGAGCCCTATTTACTGGAGTTAGAAATAGAATGAGAAATTCTAATTTGTACTGAATAGCAATCAGTTTACAATACACACCATGTCTAAATTTTCTGACACTTTGGGGATTAAATGGGTGTGATTTTATTGAATGTTAATGCCCAGAAAACAAAAACAAAACAGATCAGTAGGTACTTATTGAGCATCTACTGTGGGCAATGTACTGTACTGGGAGAAAGAACAAAGGACACAATGCTTCTTTTGAGCACCTACCAGGCAAAGAGAGCTGGCCACCCCTGACCACGTATGTGAATTTTGCCAGCGGGATGAAACAGACCATATATGCTCTAGAAAGAAAGTGAGCTTTGGAGTGGCTTAACTAAGTAAGTGGGAACTGAGTTGCGTCTCAGCTGAGGAAGGTAAAGTTTAGTAGGTAGGTGGTGGCAGGAAGCCCTGGGAGGAGTGTTCCCCGAGGATCCTTCAGTCCATCTTAATAGACAGTGTCAAGGAACTATTCTGCCTGGAAACTAAACCAGTCAAGTTCTGCCCAGGCCATAAAATGTGTCTTAACCCTACCTGTATTTCTAAGGTCATGCCCTCCCCTGCTGGCCTTCACTGACTCAGTTTGCAATCTAAAAGGATGTGAGACTTGTCCCAGCAGGAAGCTAGGATTCAATTCTGGGTTCTCTGATCCTTCCTCCTTCCTCCAGACATGGGAATTGTGTAGACTCTAGCATAGCTGGCTCTGCCTATGCATATACTCTGGAAGGTTTCTGGAATCAGCGTGGGTTTGGGTGTGTATATGGACCATGTTCCATCAGGCTGGAGATGGTGTTCAGAACTATGCAGAAGATGCTGTGGAGCTGTGGTGGACCCAAGTGTGACACCCTTAGAGATTCATTCTCTTCTTAACAAAATTATCCACAAGGAAAAGGCAATCAAAACAGAACGGGAAGAGAAGGCTGCCACACACACATATTCTGGTAACTCTTTTATAATAACAACAGCCTGCTTTTAAATTCTTTCGTGCCTGCTGCCTAATTTCTTTTCAGCCCTGGTTACAAGGCCAAAGGCAGCAGTTCACAATTTGGCCGTGTTTTAGGCCTGGTAATGAGCTTAGTCCAGCCCTCACTACCCCAGCCTCACTTGTGCATGCAACCCAAGCAGCAATAAGGGCTCTGTAGCCCTGGAATTTCTGGAGCTGGGCTGTTCTAGAGGTGCTTCAGGAGGAGATGTTAACTAGCACACTGACAGTCCCAGCTGACAGTCTTGCCCTTACATACGTGCCTGCTCCCCTGCTGATGGCAGTTAGCCTGTGAACTTCAGGCTGACTGAGCCTAATGAGCACTCCTGGGGGCACAAGTGACTAAGTCATGTCTAGTATCCTCTTGTCCTGTCTCGTTCTGAATGCAAA